AGGACGCTGTCAGCACATCGTTGCCAACACTGAACTCATAGATGCCGTCCACCTTCAGTCCATATGTCATCAGGTCTGAACAGTCCAGGGGTGGCTCAGAGGCTGGGGACAGATAGAGGGATATTATATGAAAATGGACAGGTGGATTATCTGTGTGTGTGTGAAGGTGTGTACGTGTGAGAGAAAGCGAAAGTGTGTGTGTGTGTTTGTGTGTGTGTGTGTGTGTGTGTGTGTGTATGTATGAGAGAGAGAGAGAATGTGTGTGTGCATATATGAGTGACAGAGCAAGAGAGAGAAGGGAGATACTTTTCTTATGCATGTGTGTTCTTATGTGTCAGAGAGAGAGAGAGAGAGAGAGAGTAATGTGTGCATTTATGTATGTGTTTGTGTGTATGTCTGTCTGGGTGAGAGAGAGACAAACATACAGACAAACAGAGAGAGGACTAACCTGGACATATAGTTGCAGCAGGATGATCACATTGGCAATTCCGTACATTGAACACAGTATCAGCGGGACACTCAAGCACCCGGCCATATTGGTCCTTATCAGCATATTCTGCAAACTTCTGACACTTGGTTCCAGGATAGATGTAGTAGACATTGTTGTCTCCCTCAGCATCTCTCAGAGTACAGGCTCTATCTGGGAACAGTAAGGGAAAAATGTCATACAGTTAAACAAGGAGACAGACCTCTATGGATTGAATATACACACAGGTGCCACTTGAAATCAAACACAACGTTTCACTTACCAGTTGGAATTTTTTGCGTGGTTGTAGAAGTTTTATGTGTGGTTGTAGAAGGAGTACTCTTGGTCGTAGTCTTTGTGGTTGTAGAAGTTGTAGTACTCTTGGTTGTAGAAGTGGTTGTGCTTTTTGTAGTGGATGTTGTACTGCTTGGCACCGCCACAGGTCTGATGGCCATTCTTGTAGATTCTAAAGAGTACCACACTCCCTTGAAAGTCTTCCAATAAATGCCATCAGGGTAGTTGGCCTGGTAGGGCCCTTTTCTTTTGCCATTCCCATTGAGGTTTGCCTCCGTGTCCTTGCTGAACCACCAGCTGCCATGATGCTTTGCTGCCATTTTGTTGCAGTCTCGATCTTTGGTGCAGAACTTCATGTTTCTGGCACCAACAAAGGAGTCCCCTGTAATTAAAGATACAAAAGAATGTTTGAAATCATTTTGTCATTTTTTTGTCAACTTAGATGGGGATGGTTATTTTGTTGCAGTTACCATTTCTGCTTTATGTTTCTGGTGGCAATGAATGAAATGAAATGATATCAATAGAATAGCAAGGAAATACTTCCTTCTAAAAAATAGATATTTGATCATCCTGTTGCATGTATTCAAATGAAAAACATGAAACATATAATAAATTCACATTTCCTGAAAAAGAACTTTGAACCAAACATAAGGTATTATGATTATTTTAGAGATGAAATTACCAATGGTTCCATTGCGCATCTTTCCCACAGAAAGCCTGTATCCATTGCTGGCATTGCCCACTGAGAAATTAGAAAAGATGGCATATCCACTGTGACCTGTGAAATCCTTGAGGTCTACTCGTATGTCATAGATGCGACCGTTCTTCTTTGGGTTGGTCATTTGGTAGAGGTTGTCCAGACCTGATAAGGTGGGCAAAAATACCCCAAATGAATTAGACTGCTTTGTAGGTATATGGTGGTATTAGTGAAAGGAATAACTCACTTCATGGTTAAAAACTAAATTTGTAGGATTCAAAATCATGTTAAGCAATGAACAAGATTTAATAATGATGGTACAGTTGCATTTCAATAACACGTGATAAAATTATATTGTTTAAATTTCCATGTGTAATATGTATATTGCATATATCAAAATGAAGAGATTTTTTATGAATTTACATAGTGTCTTGAATTACGTATGTAAATTGTGTTTCCAAGTAAAAAGTCTTATTAAAATAATTTTTAAACTATAAAAGATAAATAAACTTCATGCTCACCCCACCAGAATTCAAACCCCAGTTGTCCAAAGCCCCCGACATAATGCCTCATGTCTTGATAGAAGTCCAATGAATTCTGAACACTGGTCTCTCGTTTTTGGATCAACTGGAAATGGAAGATGTGAAACAAACTTTTATTTTTAGCTAGCTTGACCAATATTTAAGACATTTTATTTGTTATGTATCTGTATGGTTTTTGATATTATGTGAGAAGACAAGTTGATATCAGGGGCAAATCCAGAGATATTTTCTAACCGTCTTCCATATTACTTATTTCATATTGTTAATTCATCCTCTATTTTTGACCGTCTTCTCACAGAAAAAAAAAAAAAATCATATGCCTATGTAAACTTAAACTTCTGACCGTCTTCTGGAAGACCCAGAATATGGCCTACATTTGCCCCTGGATATATTTGACAAACAATGGCCTTGGCCTGGTTATGTACTGAACTGCAGAGAGAGAGAGAGAGAGAGAGAGAGGAGGGGGAGGAGAGAGACTACTGACCAGCCAGCCTCCATCTGGACCCTCCATGTCACAGTAGGCGGCCATTTCACACGTCCCCACAGTGAAGTTATAGATGCCAGAGTAAGGGATACCAGCCTGGCAGAGATCAGTACAGTCTATGGGGGGCTTAGACGCTGGAATAATAATAATAATAATAATGAAATGATAATAATATATAAATGCAATTTGCTACATTAAGCATAAAGCAATTGACCAGCAGATTTGGCATCAGACAAGTAAAAATAATACTTTCTGAAGTTTTTTGGTGAAATTGAATTAACAGATATTTTATCTGCTGTTTAAGCTAGCGGTATGTATGTTTCCATAACCCATAGATATCATCCGCAGGACATAATTGTATGATTTAGACAATTTGGACTATTTTTCAGAGGTCTTTTTAACCAACTAACCAATTTGCTGAGAAGTTTCAAGTGTAGACTGCCAATCTTACCTGGACACTGGACATTGGTCATCAGATCACAGTGACAGGTTTTCACATTGAATCTCATACGTGCCGGACAAGCAAGAACTCTTCCCGATGGGGAGTTCTTGGCCCATTGCACAAATTTGGTACACTGGGACCCTGGGTAGATGATGTATTCATTTTGCCACTTGTCTGTGCACTTGTTCTTGGGTGTTTCTGAAGATAGAATATTTTGGTTTGAATTTTATGTCTGTTAAAGACACGTGAATAATTGTTTTTATTGACTTTTTTGTCTTTTTTTTTTTTTTGGATGATAGAATGTTTTGATTTATATTGACTGTTAGCTTTCATTTGGTGTTTCTGGTGAAAGTTGTAAAAATTAAAAATCCTCAAAAAGTAATCCGCAATTTCTCATCACATTTAGACCACTTGAAAAAATATTATAGGATATATGTTTTAATTGTGCTTCAGTTAAAGCCAAGATGGACTGTTGTTTTGATTAATTGCCTTTTCTGGATTATTTTTATGACAGAATGTTTTGATATGTATTGACTGCTAGCTGAAAAGTATGAGATAAGTGTGACAATTCTTGGTTTGGATATTTTTCTTTGCAGCTGTTTTTGGGTGTTTCCAAATTCCAAGTATTAGATTTGAGTGCCTGTTTATACATGTAACTTGCAGGCAATATACACAATTTTTGGTCTGGATATATTATTCATATTGCTGATGAAATTTCCACTTGTGTATCATAAGTATCATATTTGTTGGTGACATGTTAAAAAATTTTATAAACTTCTCAACTAAATCTTTTTTTTTTTGGAAAAATGATAATAAATAAATAAATAAATAAATATTGCAAGCTATCTATTAGCCAAATGACAGTGTGACTTGGATTATCAAGTTTACATACAATTTATTGTTCTGAAAAAGGTTCAGAACTTAATCTTTTTTGTCATAAAAAGCAATTTACCTGTAAACATATTGTGGATTAATTTTTTACAAAGTATATAGTGAAAATACATGCTTGTCAAATAATAATAATCATAATAATAATTTAATCAAAAGGAGAGGGGGAATTGGTTCTTACCTGCCCAGCTCAGGTGAGCCAACACCAGCAGTGTAGCAATGGTGGTCAACCTTGTGGTCATCATGACGCTGTACTACCGAGTGTTTTAATTAACTCAGATTCTGCTCTATGTAGATGGAGTGTGGCTTTAATTGAGGCCACTGATTATAATTGGTTATCCGAGTTTCTGTTTACACTACACAAAAGCTTTTTAACAAACCTGGTTCACAGCAGTTTGCAACAAATTAACATGCATTACACTGTTTATATGATTTCATATTGCCTTTGGTTTTTAAAAATTTCACCAGAATGAGACAACAAAAGAAAATGATTGATAATTTTTTGTAAGTGTATCATTAAATGGGCTTGAGGTTTTTGTTTGTTTGACGGTAATGAGGAACATTGAGAAAAAATACTTTTGTTCCAGACAGTTTTGATATGATGCTAAATATATCCTCATATTTTCAAAAAAATAAAATAAAATAAGTAAATAAATGAATAAATAAGTATGTAAAATAGATAAAATAAAATGGTACAGACCAGGAGAGGTCCAGGGAAATCTGCTTTAACCAGTGTAAATGTTCCTGAAGGTTCTGCATTATCATTGTCATCAGATCAAGGTGTGGCAGATACCTCAATATTTATATCCACTGTCAGTATCTATATTTATATCAAATGCCTATCTGATGATATGCATTATTAATTGGCAGCAAAATTCTTGCAGTTGATCCCAAAGTTGCAAATTCTAGCAAAAATTTATTACATGCCGTTTGTCTGTATTCCATCTGCATGTCTGTCTGGTTGTCTGTCTGTCTGTCTGGCTGGTTGACTGTCTGTATTTTATCTGTCTGTCTGTCTGTCTGTATGTATGGCTGTCTGTATACACTCTATCTGTTACTCTGTCAGTGTGCCTCTGTATCAACAATTTCAAATGTGTCAAATTCTTCTTAATGTAGTAATTATTTTGCATGTTGCCCATATAACTGCCATAGCATTATTCCAATATTGTTATATTTTGTGTTTGCAGCAGAAACCTTGACCCCAAGAAAGGGCAGCCATATGTTCAGTCCAGCTGGTATCCCTACCAAAGGCAGGCATATGTATGGGTAAGGGATTACATCATATGGTTAAAATATTAAAAATATTCATTTATTATTTATTTATTTATTTTCAGGCATTTATTCATTTATTTCTGCTTATTCATAATTGTTTAAAATGTGATTTTATATGTGAGTGTTATAAGCATAAAACAGACAGGAACATCAAGGAATATGATTCCTTAAGTTCAAATAAAGAAGAGTAAGGCAAAATTGTATGCTTCACATTCAAACTTTTTATTTTATTTTTTGTGTAAGATATCTTGTCGTTGAAGACATCTTGAAATATTGGTTACTCACCTACTTGTTTTGACAAATACAAAAGTGAAGCATGCTTTTTTTTTTTTTTTTTTTTTTGCTTTTAGATAACTCTCAGTTGTCATTCCCTGGAAAAAGTAAACTATTAATGACATATTTGTTATATCCGGAAAAATTAACCTATTAATGACATATTTGTTGTTTTCCAGTCGTGATCCATCCCCTCCAATCTCAGAAGCTTCCACAGCCAGAAGTGGCAGACGGCCACCAGGTGGTGCTCATGTTTTGGCAGCCACGGCTCCTCTTGCTAAAGTAGAGCAGACAACTTACAGAAAACAGGGCAGCAATCCTGGTAACTATGGCAACAGGACTTGGACAGCAGGGGAAAGAATGGAAGGGGATGAATCAGAGGTATTTATTTTAATAATTAAAATTATTATTATTATTATTTTGTTAACTTAAGTTGCTATAGGTCTTTGCTTAGCAGTTATCTACCTAACCATTAGCTGTAGTGTGAAAAAGGTCTGAATTAGTGATGGATTTGGTTTAACTGATGTAATCTGAGAGAGAGAGAGAGAGAGAGAGAGAGAGAGAGAAATAATTGGAGAGGGCTAGATAAGAGGGGTGAGAAAACCTTAAAACTCTGAATCTTATATCAGCACTTCTGCACAGTTTGCAATAATTTATTAAAAAAACCCAGACTTGCCTATCCCTGGGGTAATGTTTAACTGTCAAGTTAAAATTCTACAACTCATGTTTTAGGAGGACACCTACCGTCCCCCTACAGCTGACCCTGCTGACCAGAGAGGTCACGTGTGGCAGCTCCCAGAGGACTCTGATGCCAGCACCATGGCTAGCTGGTCACGGCCCAGGAAGAATGGTAGGTGGCCTTCGCAATATTCTGTCTCTTTTTTAACTTAATTGGAGTCAATTTTATTTATTTATTTATAATTTTTTTTATTGTTTATATCACAGATAAGTGTTTAGTGTATATTTCAGCTCATATTGTGAATATAAAATATCTGCATTGTGTGCATTATACTTTCTTGAGCTTTAAAGAGTTGGATTTTCATTTGAAATTGAAGAGTTTTGTTATTCTGGTAGATGCATAGTTGAAGAGTTTTTTTTGTAAGAAAATATGCTTTGGGGTTCAAATATACTATTACATAATGCTGTAAAAGGGAAATGAAGCTTGATATTTGAATGGAATTGATAATATGACAATGTCAGATATTCTTTTAATCCTTTTATTACAGTTCCAAAGAAAAGAGACACTCATCCAGCCTACTGAAGTGATGCTAAATAGGTGACATCACAGCATTGGTGACATCACAATGTTAGTGACATCACAATATTAGACACATCAGAACATCACCAAGTCTTCTGAGTAGAATATTTAAATTAAACTATCACTGAGCAGTAAAATACTATATCATGTATATGGATACATGGAAGGTTAGGTTATTATAATTGTATTGGGTTTGGACTTGGGGAGTTTTTCCTGTAGATTAAATGTATAGGTGGCATTTTATTAAGATTGTCAGTAATATTAAAATAGAGAAAATATTCTATTTGTTAATAGTCATTCTAACACTTTACTCTGCAGACAAAGAATGTTTTTCATGTTATTATTGTTTGCAAACAGTATTGTATCACAATGTAGACTTTTTGAGACTTTTGAGTGATGTTCTTTTTTTTTTTTCTTGGGGGGGGGGGGTGAAAATGTACATTGTAAGTTAGATTAGCTCTTATGTTTTTTAAACTCCAGACTTTTTTTGGTTACTTTTTAAATTTATTTTGTTTCATTTTATTTTATTTTTATTGTATGCTGTCATTTGAAAACAGTTTTCTTACATTTATACTTGATGTAATGGCCCAATAGTAGCAACTGTTAAAAACAAACAAATGTGATATAAAGGACGAATGTTTACCTTTAGATTTCTGAAAATAAATTCTGTACATTGTGAAATATTTGAGGATTTTTGGTTTTGATTTCTTAAACTGTTATTACACAATTACATGCATGTGAGACACTGTGTTCTAGGTGTTAGAGGACCCTTATCTTTATGATATTATAGTTTTTTATATATAATTTGTAAATGGGTATATACAGTACATATTGTATATAACATGTCAATTGAAACCTGTGACTGAAACCAAGTTTCCATGTAACGGATAGTCCACCATCCTTTAGATTCGTACAGGATAGGGTTAGCTTGACGTAAGTGGGCCAAACTCTGTGTAGAGGAATGAAAACCGGTCTCTGTCTCACTGTGGACTCTCTCATACAGGTGCTTTCAGATACAATAAGTCTCAGGGCAAGTGCCCATAATACATGTATACAAGGTCGTTTAAACTGCTGATGATAATGACTGCGCACAGAATGTTGCTCTTTCGTTTCTTAATAAATTTTAAGTAACACCTATGATTATGAATAACTCAGACAAACTATCTGAAAAGGGCATGTTTTGCATAAGAAACTAAAAACTGAATTTCTTGGGGCATATCAATATATGGTACGAGTTCAACGAAGAACAGAAATGACATTCCAGGCACACAGATCAAAATAGGACGGGAAGTCATATGTCACATCTGGAAAATTGTGATGGCGTTTCTATAACTCCATTTCATATATCCAGAGTTGTGGAAAAATGCCTTGCTCACACTTTTGAAAAGGTGATTTTATGCTATCAAATCACCAAAATTGTACGATAGTACTCTGTACGAACAAAAAGTGATAAAATAGGGACCTGCAATAGAAATAATTCAGAATGTGATGTATCAAAACTCCTGTCATTTACTGAATATTTGATTTTTAAAAATTCAGCCATCAGAAAAGATCAGCATAAAATACGTCGGCAGATCATCCTTGAGCTAGTTAACAAGACATGGTAAGGCGTTTGTATTTATTTCCTATCTAAGCCCGAGACAGTGTCAACACTTGGTATCAGAAGGTGGACTATCTGTTACATGGAAACTATCTAAGCCCGAGACAGTGTCAACACTTGGTATCAGAAGAGACGACCTGTCGGTATTCTTGGCCACGCCCATTATCTATCAAACACATCACGTGATTACGTGTTTCTTCTGTAAATAATGCTGCACCTTGCGAATGCTTTAGTGTGTGCCTTGGGCGTAAGCAAAGTCGAGTCATTTAATTATACAGATTAAGTTGGTAGAGGAGCATATATATCTTTCTCCTCTTTACTCTGCCTTTGCCAAGAAACAACTACTAAGGCTTTACAAAAAGAAAATGAACAGGTTCAAGATGGTAGATTCCAACCAGTGGCCGAACATTGAAGTCAACGTAGCCTTATGTGGGATTTCGGGTTCAGGGAAATCTCAGTTCATCAACACAATTCTTGGACTGAGAGCTGACGACCCTGGCGCGGCGCCCGTAGATGCCTTTGGTTCGCAACGTACCACATGGCGCTATAAACACCCCGAGCTGCCAGGTCTTATTTTCTGGGATTTGCCGGGAATTGGAACTGGTGAATATGGCAGAGATAATTATTTGAAAACTGTTGATTTTAACACTTATGATTTCTACTTAATATTTGGACGAGGGAGGTTCTATGAAGAAGACGCGTGGTTGGTTAAACACGTCAACCGACGACGAAAGCGTTTCTTTTACATTCGAACGCATATTGACCAAGACATAGCATCCAAGAAAAGAGATGGTGACAAAACATCAGCCGAGGAATCTTGCTTAGATATTGTCCGAAATGACTGCGAGACGCAAATTCAACACGCCGGCATTAAAGTGACCCATACTCAAGTCTACTTGATATCTACACGGTTGCAGGACAAAGACAAATGGGACTTTCCCAAGTTGAACTCGGACATGCTTCAACATCTGCCTCGTATAATAAGAGAAACAGATGCAGTGGCCATATCAGTGCCTTATCTTTCCGACATCAATGTCAAAATCCAATCCCTGCGCGACAATGTCCGGCGAATCGTTTTTCTATCAGGGATATTAGCTGCGGTTCCTGTGCCATTTCTTCCCCTCGTCGCTGACGTTTTTTTAATTCTGCGGCAGATAAAAACTTATGAAAACACCCTCACACCAACGGAACTTTCTTTGAGACGCTTGGGACTCACGAACTCATGGAAATTTCAAGTTACAGGGTTTGGCAGACTTCTTGGCGAGTTCTTAAAGTTTTCCCTCTACTTCACGGTGAGCCCGTACCCTGGCTATGTCACCGTCTTGGGGTGTGCATTGTCCGCATTTCTGGCTTATCGTATGACGGGTTTCGTACTTTTCAGGAGTTTGAAGATTATTGAAGAGGAAAAAATAAAAATGTTAAAATAACGTTTCAGACATTATCGAAAGACTAAATTCCTGTGAAAGGAATATTGTATTAAAATAATATCATTTTTATACATGATGTTTAGATCATCAATTATGTTTTTATAATTCATTTGCTGTCATCGTGAAATGAATGTTGTTACACGTTTAGAGTCAAATTCAGATTACAGTCAATCAATTCAATTTTAGTGATATTCTTTGCATTTGCGCAAATATCTACTGTATATGGACTAGCAGGTAAACATTGCTTTGTTAGTCACTTGCTTAGTTGAATAAGAATTGGTAGATTATTTTCCTTTTTCAATGTCTAATACATTGAATGTCTTCCTTTGTAGTTGAACATAGCTAACATTTTAGCCATCGTATACAAATGAGAAACGCAAGTAATACACACACAAAAATACTTCAAAATGGGTAAGTTGCCTGTCGTCCAAACAACAGAGGCAAAGGTATCGTGTATCTGTTACTATTGTGTGTAATTATTGAACTGCTTTACCTTGTTGTTGGATTCATGTTTGATATATGAAATTAGTAAACAGTATGTGCAAAAGATTAAGCATTTCATTTAAATCAATTTCTTTCTATGAGTACGCGCATACTGCATGTGTATTTATTATTCCCAAGATAGCCAGCCTGCATCGTGTTAAAATAATGCAGAACATGAAAAAAAATTAATTGCAGTTGCTTTCCTACCTTAGATCGTTTAAATTCAAATTCACTGTTGCGGTGTAGCACATTTTCCTGTGTATGTTTATTATTCTCGAAAACAAAACTCTCAAGTTTATTTGTCTGTTTGTTTGTTTGCTTGTAGTCACTTTTTTGTTAAACGATAGAGACTACAATTTCAGAGATTTTTTAAAAAAATGTAGACTACAATGAACCCTATTGGTTTTCAAAAGGATCAATTTTAGTGAATATATGTAAAAAAATACCCCAAAGGCTAGACAAAATTAAAATAGCACAGTCCATTGACAATTTAGATTTTTTGTAACTGTGTAATTACCAGATCATTGCTTAAACAGCTGGACTCAGCTTTACGCCCTAGTGAATAGTGTTCAGCTTCAGAGAAACATAAGCTGAGGAAGGTCACAGTAGAGATTGAAAGCTATGTTTATAGATAAACTCAGAATAGAAATGAAAAGTTTAAGAGTATAAAATAGTCAGAGGACTACACAAGGATTTCCATCAAATTATGCAGTATAAATTTGAGATTTTTTTAACGAAATGTGAAACATGAGGCCCAAAGTGCTCAGTGTTACATATTAGTATGTGAATAAATATGTACAGTGCATCTTGCATATAACGTTTCAATTGCGACTTGGGCATAGGAAAGGGAACCGGACCCAATCGTGCAGGTGTTTTCATATACAGTTAGTCATAGGCGAGTTCCCATAATATGCACGATCGTAATATGCAAATTTTGGTGATGTTGAATTTTTTTCATGTAATATTGCTATTGATAATTACTGCTTAGATAATGTTTCTCTTTCTTTTATTAAAAAACCGTAAGTAGTATTGAAATTTACCTTATGGGTGACACGAGTTTCACATAGGAAACACAAAACTGGATTTCTTTGGATAAAATAATCTAACAGCCTCAGCATATACTTTTAACAATGAAGTCTGATTCTTTCAGGCCCGCAATATCTGTCTTTTTATGTACAGACACAGATGTGTCTGTACATATTGCCATCACCTGCGTCTGTCGTCGCCGATGCCGTCGCCGATGCCGATGCCGATGCCGTCGCCGATGCCGTGCACTTTCCTTGTAAACACGATAAGTGGAGGACAGTTTTACTTTTTGGCTTTATATTTACAGAGCTGATGAATATTCATAAAATGCAGGTCAAGTTCGAAAATCAGCATGATCGGGCCATTATTGTAGAAGTTATGCTGTTTTTTCTTTTTTCAGCATATATGCAACCCTGTAAACACATTTTAAGGAAAACCGTTAGGCCTGTTGTCATGAAACTCACAGGAGTAATCAATCTTACTAAAACGCAGGTCAAGTTCATAAATCGGCATGATCGGGCCACTATTTTAGTACATGTAGTTATGCTGTTTTTTCATTTTTCAGCAACACTGCAACACTGTAAACACAATATAAGAAAAACAGATAGGCCAATTGTCATTAAACTCACAGGAGTGGTCAGTCTTACTAAAATGTAGGTTGAGTTCGAAAATCAGCATAATCGGGGCATTATTTTAGAAGTTATGCTGTTTTTTCACATTTCCTCAGATTCAACTCTTAGGCATGTTAACAGTCTCATTATTGAACTAATAAGACATGTAAAAGTGTTTGGTTGACATTTCCTGCATCTTTACAACATTATTAGTTGATTTTGTAAAAATGATGGTAAGCTTGTTATCGTGTATTGTGTAATAAAGTTTCAAAAATGGAAATAAACTCATATCATTGCAGTTTGTCAGATTCAATCATTCACTATGTTCAGAATCTCAGAATGGAGGAAATTGGACATTCAACACTGTTGTATTGATATTTTTCCCATGTCATTAATTTTCTTAGTTGATCGTATAAAAATGGCAGTAACCTGTTAATTTTGTTTTATGTTCAAAAAATTGTTAAAAAAAAACATTTCAGAACAGTGCTGTCTTGTTTACATTTTGGCATTTTCAAGTTGTGACTTTGAAGTTCCATGGGCCTGAAGACCTTTGCTAGTCTCATTTTCTGAATATCCATGATACTAATATTTTATTATTAAAAATTGATGGTCATTATGCTGTTAAACATTATGTAATATTGCATCAAAATTTGAAAAAAACGTGCTGCTGCCATGAGGACCATTATGGGAAAACCATGTTACTTATGATTGCCTAACTTTCTTAAAAGAAATACAGCACTAAAATGCAGCCTGAGTTTGAAAAGCAGTCTAATTGGCTTCTTTTTCTGGAGGTTATACATTTTCAAAGTGTGAACTTGTTACACATTTTACTTACATTGGTATTACCTGTTGAGCATAATTAAAATTTGATGTTGAATTTGCAGTTTAACATAATGTACTTTTGCATCAGAATTGACAGTAGCCTATTTTCTGCATAGTTATTGCCTTTTTTTTGTCTGTACATTTGACAGCTTTGCTGCCTTGTTTAATATAATTATAGCACACATTAAAAAAAAACTGGTAACAGAATTCGAAAGACAAAACATGTGAGCGTTATGTTTTAAAGCCCTTGTTGTTAGCAAAAAAAAAAAAAAAAAAAAAAAAAAAAAAATGCATTCCCTAGAGCCTAATTACTTAAAATGTCATAACAGACGAGATGCAAAATTGAGTTAAGTTACAAACGGAAAAGAAAGTATCAGAAAAAAAGATCAACTTAAAAAATGAGGGCGTCTCAGATCTGAGCATTTTACGTTATGTATTATTAGTTCCAAAGCTATGTGTAATCATCGTATCGTGTTTTGTACATTTTTGTACTGTCGCTTATGCATTTTTACAGAAAATTTGATTCTACCATATCAATTGATCGATCCCAATGTAGAACAGAGAGCGAAAACCCTAATATGACACAAAATCCAAAACTGCAGGATGATTTCTCAAAGCCTTCTACTGTATAATTATTGCATGTCAAAATTGTCTCAATATCACATTTAACCACGAAAGCAAATCCTTAATTAACTTAGCTACTAAGCTGTTAAATTTATAGATATAAGCTGGGCTGGTTTTTCAAGTAACAATATTGTAAACCTCTGATTTAATTTTGTTTCTACATTGTATCACTGGGATTCTAAAACTTAAATTTTTAAAAAGTCGGAAATCACAGACGTAGCAAACTAATACAATCGTTTACATTTCAAAAAAGATCTAATACTATTATCTAGACAACTTATCTGAATAAAACTTAACAAAACCTCATGTACAAAAAAAATAAAAAAAAAAAAAAAAAAAAAAAAAAAAAAAAAAACAACAACAACAACAAAAAAACTAAAAAAAAACAAAACATTACAACATTTGGCTGTCAAAGTCACGTAATTATGCCCTTCTATTCATAACGTAAATTTTCCTATTGACTGCAACTGTCTAAAGATGGTTAAATAAAGCATATTAACTTCTTAACTTGAAATAATCATTTATGTCCATAAGCCCTATTGTCTTCTCCTTTTTTCATACCACAAGGGATTTGCAGCATTGTTTCAGTCTGAACATGCCCGATAAGGGAATTTTGATTTATGTTTAAGTATGTGATCTAAGTGGGATGGAACTTCAACACAGTTTTTACGACGTGTATTGCAGCCTTTTCCATGTCAGATAAGATATTCTGTAACAATACGTATGTTGTCCCGAAGTTTAAACTGGCGCCAATTACCGGGCCTAAGACGGGGATCCAGCGACTACCAACAGACAAGGCATATTTGCCAGCACGTGCTGCGTAGTGCTTAACTATGGCGCTGGTTGAAGCAGACACAGATATCTTAAGGTACTGATCTGCTGTCGACACTAAAATTTCATAGGAAACCCCAGTTTGGTCAGAAAGACGTTTAAGCGAAGCAGCATCCAATCCGAGTTTAGTTTTATAGTCATTAACTGTACGCTGTAATATACCGCCACAAACCACCCCATCAGCGATTGGGATCGGGATTGCACCTGCACCACCACAGACACCAGCAACCAGCCAAATTCGAGCTCTCAAAGCATCACATTTCTCTTTAATCAATTTCTCTGACAGATTGCAGAGGGCTAGGGATAAAACTTGACGTTGGGTGCCATTCAAAATTTTTTTCATATCATCCACCAGGTTTTCAAACTCCCACTTTTTTGTATCTCTTAATAAGGCGGATATTAGATAAATTTTTCTCGGCTTTCCCATCCCAAAAATTGGCCCTGTTTTCAACTTTTGGTTGGTATCTTCTCGTATTTGGTCTAGGATTTTAGACTCTTCGAATGTTTCAGCGAGTTCATCCTTCATAGTCTCTATATCCACGTCGATGTGAGTGCGCACCAGAAAGAGTTCCTTGTTTTGTCGTTTGACCTCTCCAGCCAACCACGCATCATTCTCAGTGAAACGTTTGTGTGTAAAGATAAGGAAAAAGTCGTAACGATCAAGTTTGACTTTCTCGGTATAATGTTCTCTCTCGAATCCTTCGGTTCCAAAACCAGGAATGTCCCAAAGTGTAACATTTGCATTGGTTGGAAAAGGGTATGGTGTCGGTTCTTTTGTAGTCGCTTTGCAGCCTACCACTGCTCCACCTTTATCCCTGGATTTTATACCCCGAATCGTATTGATAAATGTCGATTTCCCCGAACCGGCTACACCCGCTACAGCAATATTAACGGTGACGTTTTCAATTTCATTTAGTTTTGTTTTCATATGTTCGACAATGTCTTTCACTCCATGATTTTCAACGACTTTCCGCGCTTTTTCTATGTCTCTCTTTTCCAAAGAAAATGGCCCGTGTTGCACATTTTCCGCCATAATTAGTCGGTAAGTTTACTCTTGGGTTTAGTCACCGAGACAAAACACAGCAAAGTCCACTTTTAATTGCTATATATGTATAGTCTAAGTTCGCAAGCACACTAAAAGCGCCGGTAAGGTTACGTTTGTTCTTATACGCCAGGTTGTTGGACAGATCTCAAAAATATATGTAATGTTAATTATTGCCATCCAGCGGGGAGTGTTTTGTACAGTAAATGAATTGATTGACATGTCCTCATAATACTTAAGCAGAGGAATGAATTGTAAACGGGGGGAAGGTCGCTAGAGATTGAAAGAGGTTGGAAGAGAAATGAATGGGAGCGACGCAAGAATCAAATGGAAAGTGGTTGATAAATACATTGCACTGAATTAAATATGTGTTATAGTGTGGAATGACGACAGCAGTTTGGAGCTTTCGAACGTTTATTCACCGACTCTCTCTTCATACAACTTCACAAATATTTATATTCAATTTCTCCTTACTGATCACGCATTAACTTGTTTTCTTTTCCATTGCCTTTGCGTGATTACAAAATATTTTCCATTCTCATGTTGCAAGTCACTATGTAACATTTCCTTATTAGGTAATCCTTAAGAGACTTGTTTTCAATTAAAGATATCTAAAATATTATTTGAATTACTCATACTTGGACCTTATCCAAAACTCAGTTATCATGTGATAAATAAATGATCAAAATTAAAATAGGTTATGAAATTAACCAATCACATTAACTGTTACTGACTTTGACCTTTTCCATCTTTTTCTGACACTAAAAACATGTTCTACACTTGCTGACTCTTGGAGAAACTTAACTTACACTCAATAACTCTCTGTCTTTTTACTCTTTTGATTCCGCTTTAATTGTTTTCTGTAATTAGCAAAAGTGTAAGTAATTTGCTTTACAACATATGTATGATAAAAGAATATATATGAAGAATTAAAGTAACGTATATAGTATTGTAAGTTTAGATAAAGACAACAAATTCCACATGCATGCAAACTTAAAATCCCCGATGGATAATGATAAGAAGTCAATCTCTTGAAGAACATCTTAACATGTCTTTTGATACATTTGTTATTTGAGTGCACTTCATATTAGTGTGTTATACTGGTGCACACTATGCATTGGTCGATGAGACGTTAAAATTGGGGAAAATATTGGAGAAAATGGATTAACTTGCGTAAACTTTGGCAATTTTGGATATGATGTGCCATTGCTTGTTTTAAATAATTACTGAATAGTAATTGTTGAAAGTTCCCGTTAAATGATAAATACGCATATTGTCGTGGAAACAGTTTTTTCCCCTATGATTAATTTTTGAAGGAGCTGAATTATGACTTAGTATAGCATTTACTTATTTTTTCATCAGTGGAGGAGGTACTGACATATATTAAAATTATTTTTTATGACTTTTTTCTTTGTTTTTTCTGATTGCACTTGAATGAATTGAATCTCATTTTTTTCATTTTTTTATCACATTTATTTCGAAATTTATAAAGCGAGGAATTTGACACACTCGCTGCTACTGAGGGTGTCACCTGGAGCGGGCAAATGTTTAGATTTATCATTTTGGTACTTTAAACCTCTGAATATTATTTTATTGATGGAAGGAAGTCTTCTGGATCTTGCAGGTGACGTTCTAATTTGTCATGTTTACATTGACAGGTAAAAGATTTTTTTCTGTGGGACGTCGATCAAAAATATACAAAGGATAAACAAAGACACTTTGGAAGGCTGAGAAAATATCTCTTGATCCGCCCCTGTAAAAATTCATTTAAAAAATTCAAAAGTAAGATGTTAATTTTTCCAATGAAGACATGAAAAAGTTGAAAACACTATTCGAAGTGTTATAAAGGGTAACTGGGAAAATTATATTGAGAGGATAGAGTATTGGAATTAAGTTTGGCATGATTGGAATTTGAGTATTTACATTTTTGTGAACTGGAGATTTTAAATAATACTTCAGTTACGTGCACTATTCAACAAAATTAACACTGGCTTGGAAAGATACTTGACGTGTTATGTTGATAAGTTATCTCAGCAGTATGTTGCGTCTCTCTTTTGATCTCCGCGTTCTCAAAACTACCACAAATCAGATGAATGATGACGTCATTTCTATGCAAAAATTATTTCTGGACAGTACAAATATGTACACTGATTTTTCTAGAGAATTTTCTGTGAATATAATGTGAAAATCGTTTTGTGACCCTGGTTGAGGGTAGTTAATTGGAGATATTTGCCATATTTTCCTGCTACATCCCATTGTTATAGCCATATCTTTTTTTGACAGGGACTTATTAATAAGTACACAGGCGGTACACGCCTGTTATACCATGGTACTGATGATAGTGATGATCTAATTTCATTGCTTTTGTTTTATGGATTGTTTCTCTCGTGATTGGAAGTTTATCTTTTGTAGTGCAGCAAGTGATCATATGATTTTAATATTTCTGTTTTATCATGGATGGACTATGATTGGAAGTCTATCTTTTGAAGTGCATAAAGTCAGGGAGACTTGTGATAACTAATTACCGGTGTGTCATTTGAGGCATTTGTTATTTGATTTAAGTATAAACTGTAGTGCATATCAGTGACTTGAGATATTTAATGGCACGCATATTCATTTTATTTTGCCCATGTATATTTTTATGGTAGGGGTACTGGTTGTGGTGTAATATATTTTGGTGAATTGGAGTTTTTACTCTGCCTGCATGTGTTTGTACAATTGAGATATTTAATGGCACGCATATTCATTTTATTTTGCCCATGTATATTTTTATGGTAGGGGTACTGGTTGTGGTGTAATATATTTTGGTGAATTGGAGTTTTTACCCTGCCTGCATGTGTTTGTACAATTTTCAAAACAAGCCCCAGTGGTTTGAAAAGATAAAATATCGAGACACTTGAGGTGTTTGCAATTGATTAGTCATCTCAGCAGTATATTGATTCTCTCCTATAATGTTCCCTCACGTCCACAACACTATCTGAAATCAGCAGGGTGATGACCTCATTTCTGTGGAATAATTCTCTCTGGACAGCACAGAAATGAGCACGGAATTAGCTAGATAAAATATCTGTATGTAATGAAAAATGTCTATGTGACCCTAGTAGAGGGTAGTGAAGTGCATAATATTCTTATATAATTTTCCCGCTATGTGTATATCTCATTGTGACATTTATTGCTTTTTTGGCAAAGATTTATTCTAAATAATTACACAGTTGGGTCATAACGGTTATATCATGGTTCTGATGTACATGATCATCTAATTCTATTGTTTCTGTTTTATGGAATTTTTTCGTCTCGTGATTTGTAGTTCATCTTTTGTGTTTACAATTGATGAGTTATCTTGGCAGATAATGATATTCCTGATACCTGCATTGTTGCATTTTTATCTTTCCTGGCTAGCACTTTTTTTATAAATACACATCAGGGCGTGCCTGTTATACCATGGCACTGATGATAGTGATGATCTAATTCTGTTGTTTCTGTTTTATGAAATCCTTAATAGTTAAAGATTTGAAGTTCATCTTATGTATTGCGTCAATCAGTAACACAGTTTTATTGTTTCTGTTTTATGGAATTGTTTGTCTTTTGATTTGAAGTTCATCTTCTGTGTTTGCAGTTGATGAGTTATCTCAGCAGTTAATTATTTTCTTGAAACATCCCATTGTTACATTTATATCTTTTTTGGCAAGGGCTTCTTAATAAGTACTCAGTCGTGGCGTGCCTGTTATACCATGGCACTGATGATAGTGATGATCTAATTCTATTGTGGCTTTGATAGATAATTATATCAAGTTTATCTTATGTACAATTGCATCAATCATTAACACAGTTTTATTGTTTTTGATTCATAGAATTGTTTCTCTCGTGATTGGAAGTTTATCTTTTTCAGTGCAGTAAGTGATCATGTGATTTTGTTTCTGTTTTATCATTGATGGACTATGATGGGAAGTCTAACTTTAAAATTTGAAGTGCGTTAAGGTAAAATGTCTAGAGATCAGTGGGACTTGTGATAATTTGTGTCATTTGATACGTTTGTTATTTGATTTAGTATAAAGTGCACTGCCTATCAATGGTTTGGAATATTTAATGGAACAGAATACACATTTTATTTTGTACCCTTTTTTGGGGGAGGGGGGACTGGTTGTAATTTTAACAACTGATTTTGGATGTAATATATTATTATGTTGAATTTTTGTTTTATAATTATGATTGAAATTTGCCAGAAAATGAAATACACATAAAAATTCATGAAAACTGTGTACCATGTGTATCACAGGAAGACAACTATATTTATGTCTCCTCCATCTCAGTGTACCACAAACTTTTATAGTCTCATTCATAGCAAGAAAGAAGGCAACAAGGAATATAAAACTGTGTACCATGTGTATCACAGGAAGACAACTATATTTTATTTACTTACCGCAAAGGCCCAGAACTGCATATCTTGGAAATATTAGATTTTTGTTTCTCTTCAGAACAAAAGACCATGATGTACATTCAGAATTTTGCTTGTTCTTTTTTGAGCTATTTTAGAGAATGTTTAAATGTGAGAGGAGTGAGAAAAACATGCTTTTAGAGGTGTATGATTTGAAATCTTAAGAGGAAATGGAGGCTTCTCCTCACCACAAATATTACAGTATATCCCATATAACTGAAAAACTAAAATAAGGATCATGCTGGATTTTTCTGAGTATTTAGATGCCTAATCTAACCTAAAAATTATGAATTTTCAAGCAGGACTATGAAGAAATGAAAATGTTTGTGCATTATAACATGCAGTTTTTGATTTTGAAGGTGAATGATTCACTGTATAGAAAATCATTAACTAAATTAAAACACATTCTGTTGTTAATTTTATAAGACATGAAAAAAAAGTTCAAAACACTCATGGAAGTATTGTTTAAAGATAACTAGAACAATAGGTATTGAAAAAAATAAAGTGGTGGAATTAATTTTGACATAATGGGAATTTGAGTAGTATATTTTGATGA